TGGGGGGAGATATGGGGGGAGATATGGGGGGATAAGGGGAGGTGTGGGGTGATATAGGGGAAATATGGGGTGATTTGGGGGGATGTGGGGAGATGGGGGGAGATGGGGGGGGATGGGGGGAGATGTGGGGTGGTTGGGGCCATGAGCATGGCTGCCCCAAAGGGCAGAGCATCCCACTCCCAGCACGGCCGTACTGGGACCAGTACAGAGATCAGACTGGGACCAGTGCAGGCACCACAGCACAGCCATGCTGGGACCAGCTCATAAGCCATACTGGGACCAGTACAAAGGCCATACTGGGACCAGCTCATAAGCCATACTGGGACCAGTACAAAGGCCGTACTGGGACCAGTGCAGGCCCCACACCAGGGCCACAATGGGACCAGTACATAGGTCATACTGGGTCCACTGTGAGTCCCGCCCCAGGGCCATACTGGGACCAGTACAGAGATCATAATGGGACCAGTGCAGGCCCCACAGCACGGCCATACTGGGACCAGTACATAGGCCATACTGGCACCACTGTGTGCCTCACACTGAGGCCATACTGGGACCAGTACAGAGATCAGACTGGGACCACAGTGCGCCCCACACCAAGGCTATGCTGGCACCAGCTCATAGGCCATACTGGGGCCATACTGGGACCAGCTCATAGGCCATACTGGGACCAGTACATAGGCCATACTGGGACCATACTGGGACCAGCTCATAGGCCATACTGGGGCCATGCTGGGACCAGCTCATAGGCCATACTGGGACCAGTACATAGGCCATACTGGGACCATACTGGGGCCATACTGGGACCAGCACATAGGCCATACTGGGGCCATACTGGGACCAGCTCATAGGCCATACTGGGACCAGTACAAAGGCCATACTGGGACCAGCACATAGGCCATACTGGGGCCATACTGGGACCAGTGCAGGCTCCACAGCACAGCCATACTGGGACCACTGTGTGTCCTACACCAGGGCCATACTGGAACCAGTACAAAGGCCATACTGGGACCAGTGTGCGCCTCACAGCAGAGCCATACTGGGACCAGCACATAGGCCATACTGGGACCAGTGCATAGGCCATACTGGGGCCATACTGGGACCAGTGCATAGGCCATACTGGGACCAGCGCAAAGGCCATACTGGGACCATACTGGGACCAGCACATAGGCCATACTGGGGCCATACTGGGACCGGCACACAGGCTATACTGGGACCAGTGCAGGCCCCGCAGCAGGGCCATACTGGGACCAGCACAGAGGCCATACTGGGGCCATACTGGGACCAGTGCATAGGCCATACTGGGGCCATACTGGGGCCATTCTGGGACCCTTCCCCCCCCACCCACAGCTCCTCCTCCCCTCCGCTCCGCTCCCCCCTTTCCCCCCCACCTTTCTGGATGCGGAGCTGCGCGGCCGAGGCCTTTTTGCTGGTGCCCTTGGTGCCTCCCGCCGATTCCTCCTCCTTCTTCTGCTGCTTCAGCGAGAAGAGCTTGATCATCCTGCCGGGCCGGGCCTCGCCTCACCGGGCCGGGGGCGGCGGACCGGGTTGGCCCCCCCCGGCGGGGAGGAGGCGGCGGAGGAGGCGGCGGTGGATCGGCGCCGGGTGAAACGGCGGAGGCGTTGAAGAGACTGAGGGTGGGCAACGGCCGGCGCCGTTCGGCAACTTCCGGAAAGGCTTCGGGTTTGTCCGGAAGGAACTTCGGTGTTTTCCGGAACGGTTCGGCGACGTTCGGAGAACGTTCGGGTTCTTCCGGATGAAGAGAGAGGACTCTTTCCGGTGTTTTCTCTGCCGTTTCCGGTGCTTTCTCGGCTCTTTCCGGAAGACTCCCTACATGCGCAGCCTTCGGCTTTCTCCGGAAGTCTTCGGTTCTTTTCGTAGCCAATCGCCGATAGGTGCGGCTCCGCCAGGAAGGGGGCGGGGCTTTGAGGGAAACCGACGCCATGTTTGTTGTGGGCACTCCTAGACTGGGAGCGTTTCCTTTCTCCCAGTCCCAACACGGGGCCATGGGGGGGGGGGGGGGGGAGGCGGAATTAGGAATAAAGAGGAGCTCTAAGAGATTAAGAAATAACTTTATTTATTATTCATACCATAGAGGAGGGCCGCTCCCATAAAAAGAAGAGGGAAAACCTCCATAAAAATGGGATCGGGCCCCCTGTCAGTAAGTAAGAGAGGCGTGGAGCACGCGATGACCCCCACGGGATGAATGGGGAGGAACAGAAACGAGATAAAGCACCGGGGGGGGGGCACAAAGAGGCCCCTTCACCCTCCCCCCTCCTCCATCCCTGTTTCTGAGGACAGCAGCTCCACCCCAACGGGGCCGGGAGGGGGCACCCCCCCGGGAGGGGGGGGGGGGGGGGGGGATAACAGGTCTACCCAGCAGCCGAGCTGCCCTCCAGCAAATGGGGGGGGAGCTCAGGGGGCCGCAGGAGGGGCAGGGAGGGGGGCAGGGGGGGCCGCTGCGTTGCTTTCAGCCCCTTCTATGGGCGCACCGGGGTCGAGGAGGGTGGAGAAGCTGCGGTTGTTGAAGGCAGTTCTGAGCTGCTCCTCGAAGAAGCGCTGCACGCCCAGGATGGACTGCACGTCAGCTTTGTCCTGGGGAAACATAGGGGCTCAGGGGGGGCAGAAGACCCCCTAAAGAGGGGGTGATTGGGGGCAGGGAAGGGGGGGGTCTCGTCACCTCTGTCACGCGGTTGAATTGGTGGATCATGCGAGCGATGTCAGCGACGAATTCCTCTGGGCTGCTGTAGGTGGGGGAGAGCTTCCCCTGCAGCTTGGCCCGGATCAGCGTCAGGTCGATGGCGTCGCTGCTCTCCTGTAGGGACAGAATAGGATGGAATGGAAAAATGGGGGGGAAATTCCTTTTCCCACCCTTTTCCCAAGGGTGAAACCCGGCGTGGGGTTCATCGCTCACTGTGGAGCTGGAGAGGCGGTGCAGGGGGCGGCAGGGCTCGTGGCAAAGCAGCTCCAGTAGCACGCGTTCACACTTCTGCAGGTAATAAAAGAGAAACGAAACTGAGCCCTTTTTCTCCATCCTCCCCCCCAGATCCTCTCCTCCATCCCCTCCATCCTTTGCTCTCTCACCTGCTGGTCCGTGGGGCAGAGCGTGGGGAGCTGACCCTCCTCAGGAGCGCCGTTGGGGAGCCCCTCGGTGGGGGGGGGGAGGTCCTGGCACAGCAGGCAGCGCCAGTCGTGGCTGTGGGATGAAGTTGGGAGGTTGGGATGCATTGAGAGCCCCCACAGCTCCCCCCCCCATCCGGCTTTGGGGGTGGTAGAATGGGAGAGGCTTGGAGTTGGAAGGGATCAAAAGGGGGGAGGATGGATCACGGCGTGGGGAGCGATAGGGGAAGTGCCCCCGTGGGTCAGGGAGCAGCTGGGATGTGTGAAGGGTTGGATGGCAGGAGCCTCAGAACCAGAGATATCGAGGCACAGCTCTCTGCCCTGATCCACACAATGGGATCCCAAAGGGGGCTGAGGCCCCATATGGGAAAAGGAGAGCCACGTGTGGGTCAGATTCATCGGGTTGCCCCCAGGATTTGGGATCAGTAGCAGAACTCAGGACGGATGAGGACTAAAAAGGTCCTGGAGGATGAGAGGTGGGTGCATGGGATCGGCTCCAGCAGCTGCCACGGTTGTGAGGAAAGATGGGCTGCAGGGGGTTGGGATGGAGCCCCCAAAGGATCCGGAGAGGTGGCTGCAATCCCACCATAGAAGCAGTTGATCCCACCAGAGCTGAGCTCTCAGGTCTCTTCTTCAGGGTGAGCAGCAAGATTCCCTGAGATCCACCCAGGGATGGATGCAGAGGGAGGGGACGAAGGTCAGCAGCAGGGGATCCCAAGGCCGGGGGGCAGAGAGATCAACCCGACCCACACCAACTGCTTCTATGGTGGGATTGCAGCCACCTCTCCGGATCCT